ACTGCTGGTGGGACTGCAAACTACTTCAACCTCTGTGGAAAGCAATATGGACATACCTTAAAGCGATACAAGTGGATCTACCATTGGATCCAGCAATCCCATTACTGGGCATCTACCCAAAGATCCATGACACTCTATGAAAAGACCACCTGCATTCGAATGTTATATAGCAGCACAATCCATAATTGCAAGGCTGTGGAAACAGCCCAAGTGCCCATCAATCCAAGAGTGGATTAATAAAATGTGGTATATGTATGCCATGGAGTACTATTCAGCTCTAAGAAACAACGGTGATATAGCACATCTTATACTTTCCTGGTTATAGCTGGAACCCATACTACTAAGTGAAGTTTCCCAAGAATGGAAAAACAAGCACCACATATACTCACAGCAAACTGGTTAACTGAGCAGCACTAAGTGACATATGTACTATAGGAATAGGGTATTGGCAGGTGAGAGGAGAGGTGCTGTTATAATACATAATAAGTGAGATGTGCACCATCTGGGGGATGGTCATGCTGGAAACTCAGACTTTTAGGGGGAGTGGGGGAAAGGGCATTATTTGAAACCTTAAACTTCTACTCCCATAATATGCTGAAATAAAAAAAAAGTTTTTAAAAAAGCATAGAAAAAAAAAGCATAGAAAAAGAACTGGGGAAAATAGGTAAAAATTACAAATGTTCTTACCTCTGTGAAATGGCCTTATGGAAATTCTATGTTCCTGATTCTCCTATATTTTTCTGTACTTTCCAAAGTTGCCACAGTGATTGTGCAGGTAGGTATATAAGAATTAACTGAATTGGTCTTCTGCATGGAGCACATTAATCTGACAATTCAGGCCCTGTAACCATTGTTATAAGCTGGGAACATGTCTGGTACTCCTCCCCCCCCCCCATCTGAATCATGTAAGCAGATAACCTGGACCACAGATTCACGTGGCCACTACATGCTGTTTTGAAGCCCTCCTATGGCTTTGGAGGGCCTGGCACTTGGGTTGCTGATTATTCGCACAAAAAAACTGATCTATTAAAAGAGGAGAGGAAAGAAGAAAATGCAGACTGACTGAAGAGATTAGAGTCATAGAAACATGGAAATTAATATCTTCTAACAGTTTGTAATATGAAGGCAAGTGGGGAAACCAGGAAGACAGGTGCCCCATGTTCACAGAAACTCAGAAGGTTTAAACTCTGTTCTTCCACAATCTGTGCTAGGCACAGCATGTGGAGTCAAAGTAGCCCACTCCTGGGCGCAGTTTTTACTGGGATGCAGCTTCTTCCTGTTCACTTGTAGTGTCACTAAGACAAAACTAGAAATGAATGCAGTTTTTAGGGTGGCACCATGTGATCTAGGCCATGTTGAGAAGGTCACAGCCAAATGGGAGCTGCCCAAAGGACAGAGAGAATAAAAAGGGGGGAGTCTGGCAAACAGGATGGATTCAGGATGCGAGGACAAAATAGAGTGGCCAAGCAGATGAAAAAAACAAGGCTCACTGTTTCCCCACAACTACATGGCTTCCTGGGCTTCTCCTGTGTGTGTGGGCTATATATACACATGACTCTGTGTGAGTCCAAGGCACAAAAGGAAAGCTAAATGGTGAATGAATGAATGAATGCAAGAGAGCAAAGAAGGGAACCCTCTCTAATCTAATGGGCAGAGTACAGAAGCATGAGCACCTCCCCCTCGGGAGAATACTCATCTGAGGTGGCGGGGGGACTGTCACAGCCTCCAAAAGGATGGGCAGTGGGATACTCCATGACCTTTAGGGTTACTTACAACTCAGAGAGCCTAAGTGAATACCAAGTCCAAAATAGCTCTGCAAAGAGACGATGAAATACACCCCTGAGGTGGAAGGGAGGTATCTGAAATACAAATAACCTATGCAAGATTAGACCCAGACTTCATAAAGAGCTCCAATGACTCCATACCAACAGGATAAGTAACTAAATTAGAAAAATCGGAAAAAGACATTTCCCAGAAGAGGAAAGTGGACTGACCAAGAAGTATTTGAACGGAAACCATGAATTTGGGTCACAGTAGTCCCAGACTGGTGGTGCCTCAGAACACTGGGCAAGAGCACTCTCTGGAGGAGGACACCTTCCTCCTAGGCCTCAGAGTCAAAGAAGCACAGGGAGGAGAGGTGGCAGCATTCTGGAAGGTAAAGTGGAGAGGCGAGGGAAGAGAAAGGGAGTCATAGGCTCAAAGGGAGGAGTAACATAGAAACACACTGAGCATAAAGAATGGCTCTGTAGGGTAGCATCTGAGCTAAAGAGAGGGACTGCACAGGCAGCGATGCTGAGCACAAAGAGGGAAGATGGCTGCAAGTTTCCAGAGGACTGCTCCAGCCAGGGAGTCTGCCCTGCCGCAGCAGTAAAAAGAAGAGGAGAGGGATAAGAAGTGCAAAGGCAAGGCTCAGGTGGCCACTGGGGTGGACAGTGAATTCTGCAGGGTGCCCCCTGGGTATCAGAGAGGGAGGAGAACTTTGGGTGGGTGCTGTGGTCTTGGGAAAGGAGCAATGTCCTGGTGGACAGTCAACTGTGAAGAGATCTTTGGGAAAGGCAAGGATTTCCTAAAAGGAAGACAGCCATGATGGCATGATGGGGATACAATCAAGGTCTGGAAAAGAAGTAAGCAAAGCTTGAAGAGGAGACTCACTCCTGGCCCTAGTTGACTGTGTGTCAGTGGGAAACAACCATGACTGAGCAGCAGTGAGAGAGCAAAGCAAGGAACCTGAGAAGGCCCTGCCTGTCCACAGTTGGCTGACACTGCCTGTGGGGTCCAGTGTACCCTTGGAGGGTCATGTAGTGGAAGGCGGAAGTGGGAAGAGTCTGGGGAGATGAAGACTGACCTCCCAGAGATGAGCAGAGTGGGAGGAAGGGAAGGCCTGTCCCTGCCAGGACTTTTGTTAATGAGAAGAGATGCAGGAGCTGCCTATGAAGAGCATGTGATATGGAGGTCAGAAATCAGAGCATTTTCAGGTTTGGTGCTGACTTGCAACTGGTATGAAAATTAAGACTGTGATGCATTCTGGTGCCTTTCACAGGGGTAGCCAAACACCACCTCTATCCCCACCTGCAATCTGGTAAAGCCATTCTTCCTAGGCCCACCCACCACCATAGCTGCAAACTGGCCTTGCAGCTGCTAACCTGGGACATGCTATCCTTGTCAGACCACAGAATAGACCTCTGTTGCTCACTCCCACCCAGGGAGATTGTGCACTATCGAATTGCACTGCACTTCTCAGCATGCACAGGAAAATGAGGAGCAGCTAGGAGAGTGAGAAAAATGAACCCTCACAGTATGGCCACGGGTTTCCCTGCTAGCAGCCATGTATGAGTATCTGGCTCATGAGGCAAGTTGTAGTTCTTTAAACAGGACATGATAGGAACAACAGCTGCCCACCATTTAGGGAACCCTCACTTGTGATTTGAAAATGCTCCTAGGAAGTTCTGAGGCGTTTAGCAGAAGCTGGCCACCATTCACAGGGGAAGGAGCCCAATAGGGGACACCAGCATGGATGGAAATTGGAGTTGGTGATCTTAACGTCCCTTGTAGCCCTGATGTCTACATCCCATGAAGAGGGAAATGCTCCCCCTCACCTAATCGCCAGCATTTCTGTTTCCTTGAGCTCCTCCAAGGAGAGAGTAGGTACATTTCACTAGAAGAGAAAGCAGTCCTTTGCTGACTCAGCATTTACTAAGCAGATACTGTGTCCCAGCACTGGGCTTATGGAAATGAGTAAATCACAGGCCTTGCCTTCAGGGAATTCAGAGACCCTGCAGAGGCCACAGACCCTCAGAGAGGGATTACAATCGTGGGTTACAAGAGCCTAATGGATGGAGGGTGGGGGCAAGGCACAAAATGATACCGGATCTTGGAGACAAAACTCCTTAACACTTGGGGGTGAAAAAGCATATGTAATTTTATACTTGTGCCTTGAGGGAGGACAAGAGTTTGCCAGAACAAGAGGAGGCATGCATTCCAGGCTATGGGAATCACCTGTGCAAAGTAAGGAGTCCTGGGAGAGCAGGCTGAGTCAGGGACCAGAGACCACGCAACACAGTGTGACCTTGAAGAGTGTTAGACTGTTAGGCAGTGAGGGTGGAGAGAGCTGGGCAGCTCCCCAAGGTGTGTGGAAGCCTCCCCAGGGTTTTCTGTTCTTTTCTATTTTTTTTCACACTTTTCGTTTCAAGGAACCAGCAGGGTTTAAAACGGGATTGCTGGGGACAAATTTGCAATTTCCACACTAAACCAGTGCAGCGTAGAGGACAGGCCAGAGGGAGGAAAGACAGGAGGCCTTCAGACTGGTTAGGAAGCTCATGGAATCGCACAAGCACGAGACTGTGAGACCAGAACTCAGGAAGAGCAGTGGGGACACAGCAGAGGAGCATTTTTTTCTTATCAGGTACTTCAGAGGCAAGGACATGGAAGTGGGTTATCTAGTCAATGTGGGGGAGTAGGGAAGGTAAGGAACAAAGGAGCAAAGCCTGGTAGCACTGAGTAATGGCTGAGCCCCTGAGCTGAAGAGGAAATGCAGGTTTGACCAGGAAGTTGGGTTGTGTTTTAGGCAACTTAGGTCTGAGGGGCAGCAAGACATACAGAGGGGGGATTTTTCGCCTCACTTGTAAAAAAGGTCTTAAAATGACAATCCCTCCGTACCCCCACTGGCACAGCAGCAGGGACAAAGGAGAGCCCACTAGGTGGGAGTGGGAATCAGTCCTGCGGTGCAAGACTCAGACAAGAGTTCCTTGGACCCAAGCAAGAGTTCTCGCTCCTCTCACAGTTTCCATGCCCTTTGGGGTGCTCTCTGGGGTACACAATGAGGGTCCGGTTAGGTCGCTGAGGACCCCTGGGGTTGCCATTTTCACTCTTGCCTAACGGTGCAGCAACCAAGCACCCTCCTCCAGTTCTGCCCTGCTCCTCCCTCAGCTCTACCCCAGCTAATTTTCTATCTCCACCCCCTACACAAAGCTCTGTCCCCTCCAACTCCCCCAACAAGTCAGTCCTGCTCCTCCCACAGTCCCACCTTCCTTCTCCTGTAGCTCTGCCTGGCTCCTCCCGCAGCTCTGCTCCCGTCTTCTCTTCCAAATCTGCCCCCAGCTTCTTTCCCCCACCCAGCTCCGCTCTTCTCCCACAGCCCAGCCCTGCTCCTCCCTCATCTCCATCCCCAATTCCACCTCTTCTAGCTCTGACCTGCTCCTCCTACCCCTCTGGCCTAGATCGACCCCAGCTCCCCCTTTTCCAGCTCTTTCCCACAACCCTGCACTAGCACCTCCACAAGCCAGACGGGCTCCAGCCTGGCTCCTGCTCCGGCTCCTGCTCCTCCCACACCTCGCTGCCAACTCCTCCCCCAACGCTTTGTGGACCCCGCCCTTCCCCTCCCCAGCGGGGCACTGCTCACTCCCAGCTCCACCCCAGGCTGTGCGTTGACCCCTCCCCCAGTTCCTTCTCTGGTGGGCATCCGTCCCGCCACACCTCGCTGTTCCCGCGGCCCGGCCCTGCTCCTACCGTAGTCCCGCCCATGACTCCTCCCACAGCACTTTCAGCTCCGCACCCTCCGTCACAGCCCTACCGCTCACAGGGCTGCGGGCTGGCCTCGTCCCGCCGCCTCCCCTTCCTCTTCCTCCCTCCAGTCCCCTTTCCTCCCTCTGGTCTGCCCTCCAGTGCGCTGGTCTCCAGACCGCTGGCCGCAACCTCGTTTGCCGGCGCGTGTGAGGGGCCACTGAGTCAAATGGCGTCTCCCAGGGGCCCGTGCGTGTTTACGTAAGTGCGTGTCTTTGTAGCTGCGTGGATGCGTAAGTACGTGGCTGTCTGCTTGGCTGCATACGTGCGTGCAGGGGGTGTACGTGCGTGCGTGGGGGTGTACGTATGTGCGTGGGTGCGTGCCTGTCTGCGCTGTGCGTAACGGGTGTCTAGGGCTGGACCAGCGCGGCAGGGTTAACTCCGGCGAGTCCCTGTCACCCGCCACCTGTCTCCCCGAGGAGGCCGTGGCGGCTTCGCACCAACACGGGCTCTCTGCTGACGTCGTCTCCTCGTATGAGCGTGGGAGCTCCTCATCCTTGCGCTGGTGGCCTCGCCGGGCTGCGGGGAGGCGGAGGACTGTGCTGCCCAGTGGCCAAAGGCTGCAGTTGGCCCCAGGCTCCCGCGAGACCGGCTGAGGCAAAAGAGAGCCAGCAACCGTCCCGCCGGGGCCTATGTGCTCTGCCCTCTGCGCACACTACCTCCGGGCTGGGGTTGCCCAGGCTGTGGGGCTGGCGACCCCCTTTCCTGTCCCCTCCTCCCACCAACGTCTCACATCCCTGCTCCTTCTAGGTGCGCGTGCCCGCTTGTGTCTGCATGCAGAAAGCAAGTGTGCTGCTCCGTGTGCAGCAGCCCCAGTTCGGCCCTGTCCTCCCACCTCCAGCTCCTACCTTAAGCTGTGAACTAAGACCTGAGGCTGGGTGGTGCCCAGCTCTGTGGCCCATGGCACAGGGCTCAGCGTGGCTTACCCAGAAGTAAATCGAGGGAAATGGTATTTAGGCACCCCAAACCTTTGCCCTGTGACAATGTGAAGGCAGGTGTCATTTTTCTCCTCTTGGATTGGGGGTGGATGCTAGGCTGTAAGAATGTGAGCCACTTAATGAAATGATTTTCTGCCTTGTTGGCTGGTGCATTGTGTGCTCCTTGACCCAGACAGGGAGGTGTGTCCCACTGCTACCATTAGCAGAACCAAGCCAGATGTGAGGTGCCTATGTGTGTTACTCATAAGACTGGCCATCCCAGCTCTTCTTGGTCTCTGAACCCTGCTTAGTAGAAGACCTTCCTAGTACCCTGAGCCAGCATTGCTGACTTGTGCTTAATGACCTTTTCTCCTTGTCACCCTTGTCATTGTGCAGGTGAAGACACTGAGACAAGTGGAAGACTGTTTTCTCCTAGGGCCACAGAGCAGGTACTCTGCAGCACCAGGCAGGAGGGGACTCGATCCCTTCATGCTGTTACATCAGTTCTCACCAGGGATTCCACCCTCGCAGTTCATGTTTGATTGTTGTGATTTTATGGCGTTGATGAGAAAAGGGTTGGCCAAAAAACCAAGTGGTGAAAACTAGGCAAACCTTTGTTCTAGTCACACATCCCAGTAGAAGAATTAGGAATGTGGGGAACATTCAGCCTCCCTAATAAGTAATCCAAATCCAAGGAATAGGGCGATCCTTTGTCACCCATCAGCAGAATGGGTGGTTGGTGGAGTGTGCATGGGTGGGTCTTTGTGGAAGGCCATTTGCTGGCAGTACCAGCATCTCAGATGTGCTTGTCATGTGACCCAGGCATCCTCTTCAGCACATGTTCAGACAGTGAGTGTTAGGGGTGATACCGTTTTAGTAGCAGGAAATGGGAAGCAGCTCGTCACTCTCCACCAGTAGAGGGATAGTTAGGTAAATTACGGGACAACCAGCAGCAGGATGCCACGCAGGCATTAAAAAATAAGGTATATGCAGATGTACAGAGAGAATGCGCTTGATGTGCCATTAAGTGGAAAGGCCATGCCTTACCTTTTGGAGACGTGTGGGGAACATCTTACACATATGTGTTAGTTTGGCAAGATGGCCATAACAAAGGGCCACAGACTGGGTGGCTTACACAACAGACACTGGTTGTCTCCCAGTTCTGGAGGCCGGGAATCCGAAATAAAGGTATCGGCAGGGTCGGTTGGTTTGTTCCGTCCCTCTCTCCTAGCTGTGGTGGTTGGCTGGCAGTCTTTGGTGTTGCTTGGCTTGTAGAAGCAACACCCCAACCTCTGCCTTCCTCCTCTCGTGGTGCTTTCTGTGTGTGCATCACTGTCTCTAATTGCCCCCTTTTTATAAGGACACCAGGCATTTGGGATGTGGGTCCACCCTAATGATGTCATTTTTACTTGACTACCTCTGTAAAGCCCCTGTTTATGAAAGGCCACATTCTGAGGTGCTGGGGGTTAGGACTTCAACACATGGGTTTTAAAGGGACACAGTGTAGCCCCCAATAACCTACAGGGCTAGGGAGCTGAGCATATTGGTGGCAGGGGCAGGGCTAGGGGAAGGAAAGAGGCGGAGCCCAGGACTATCCCTCTGTGCAGGAAGCCAGCTAAAGCTAGGCACGACTCTCCGTAGGCCAAGAGGGCCCTCCTTCCTTGTGTTGCCCCAGGGCTCAATGACCTCTGTCACAGCACTGACCACACTCTGTCCTTTGTGTGCCTTTCTCTAGCTGTCCCTGCCCTAACTCGGTGAGCTCCCCAAAGACTTCCTGGGATGGTCCTGAGTCCTCTGAATCCCAGCCCCTTCTATTGGGCCTACCGTGGCACAGGACATCAGTGACTGCGTGGTGACAAGAGCAGCGGACTATGGAGGTCAGTGAGGTTTAGAGCACCTGGGAGACATTGGGGAGCTCAGAGGCCTGGTGTGGGACGTGCCTCTGTGTTTCCACAGGCCACACGGCGCACAGAGAGCTCACGGAAGATGAAATTTGGCTGCCTCTCCTTCCGGCAGCCTTATGCAGGGTTTGTCTTAAATGGAGTCAAGACCATGGAGACACGCTGGCGTCCCTTGCTGAGCAGCCACCGGAACTGTACCGTTGCCATCCACATTGCTCACAGGGACTGGGAAGATGACACCTGGCGGGAGCTGCTGGGGGAGAGGCTGGGGATGACTCCTGCTCAGATTCAGGCCTTGCTTCAGGAAGGGGAAAAGTTCGGTCGGGGAGTGGTAGCTGGTAAGTGATGACGTTGCAAACGTTGTGCAGACAACTCCAAGAGCAACCACCCAGGATGTTGCTGGGGAGTTTCGTGGCTTCTGTTTTCTTTTGAACTGGTTGGTATGTTTGCTGTGGTTTCCTTGAGCAACACAGCTTCTAAGGGGCAGCAAGGGGCCCCGGGCTGGGGTCGACAGGCCTATGTTCCAGGAGCTCCAGGAGATCATTTCTCCACTCTGGGCCTCAGATCCTGTTTGTGATCCGAGAGGCTGGGTCAGCTCCATGTCTGCATGTGGTGTTTGGCTGTGTGTGCACAAGTGTGTGTGGCAGAGACCACGAGAGGTAGCACAGCACACCGATCAGGTCAGGTGGCCTCTAAAGTCAGGTGGCCCACTGCTTATGGCATCCTGGGCAAGTTCCCTGCCCCCTGGGTGGTTGAGGTCAGACATCAGCACCTGTCACCTGGTGAACTACCTTGACATCACCCGTAGGTTCCCTGGCTGGTGGCTGGTGCCCTTCTAATCTGTAACTACTGCCCTCAGCAGTCTTGCTTGGAGCCGCCCATTACTTGTGTGGCTTCCTTGAGGGCAAGGCCTCTCCTCTTCCTTTCTGGAGCCCTCCTGCCTCGCCCAGGACTCCCTGAAGAGTTTGGCTTGTCATCACTGTGCAGGAAGAAGGACTCGGCTGGCTTCATGTCTTTTGGGGGGATACCATCTTAGTCTGTAGCGATTGTGACTTTGAATAAGCATGTTGTCACACAGGCAGGCCTTTGGCTATGGAAGGGAAAAACATCTGTGTTTTTCTCTCTGTGCACAGGGCTCATTGACATTGGGGAAACTTTGCAGTGCCCTGAAAACTTAACTCCTGATGCAGTTGTGGAACTGGAAAATCAAGCTGTGCTGACCAACCTGAAGCAAAAGTACCTGACTGCGATTTCAAACCCCAGGTGGTTACTGGAGCCCATGCCTAGGAAAGGAGGAAAGGATATCTTCCAGGTAGATATCCCAGAGCACCTGATCCCTTTAGGGCATGAGGTGTGAAGAGTGTGGGCTCCCAAGAGGAACATTGCTGAGAAACCAGCTAAATCATGACACCATCATGGAGCAGGCCTGTGTACATCAGGTTAAGTTTGAATTGTCCCTGCACTGGAGAGCACCACTCTCTCCTTCACTGGAACAGATGGAATGGGGATGGGGCTTTCCTTGTGTGAGACCCCTTGGGGGTCATTGACATGGTCTCAAGTACTTTGACCTTTGGGTAAAAGGAAAAGCTGCCATGGAACGTCTCAGCGTTTCCGCTAACTTTGGGCCTACTGATTTCTGGATTGTACCAATAAATGTGTTGTGGATAACCACTTAGTGTTTGGGCTTCCCTTCTATGTTTTTCACTCTTTTTGTTCCGCCCAAAACTCATGAAATGTTTGAGCAGCAGCCACAGGACGTGGCAGAAAGTCTGGCACCTGACCCTGAATGTTTGCCTGAGACCGGCCATTAATGGACTGACTTGTCCAGGATGAAGAGGACATCAGCCTTAGAGAAGCTGTCTGACCTTTCGTTTCCTCTCGCTGTGTAGTAGGGTGAGGTTGACTTTGAAAAGTAATAAGTAGTGTTGTTTTCTTGCAAATCTTTGTGTGTGTGTGTGTGTGTGTGTGTGTGTGTGTGATTTCATAGCAATGTTTCTAGTGGTGGTTATCTGTGAGGATGATGGGCTCCCCTCCCCCAGGTATTGACTTCTGAGCCCTTCTCTTCTGCGCAAGGAGGTAGGTGGTCATACATCCCCCGGCAGATGGGGGGGCCTGACTTTCGGGTGGGTCTCCTTGGAGGGCCCCTGGAGGCTGGGTTAGGGATGCTGAGCTGCTGATCAGAAACTTCCTGGCCACCTTGGGGCTGTAGGGGGACCCATGAGGAAAGAATCTCTTCTTTCAAGACCGGTGAATTATGTAAGGTGATACTGCCAAGATCAAGAGCAAGGCTGTCCTGTTTCCTGAGCAAGAGGCAGGTCCCAGGGGACCAGATCTTCCTGAGCTTGCCCTCAACACTCCCGAGCAGCCCCTTTTGCTAAGTGTGTGAAAATGCTGCTTCTCCAAGTGAAAGAGGACAGTGGAGAACAAAGCCTGTCTCGGACGGGATTTTCAGCCTCCTGGCTTGTGCCCAGGAGAGGTGTATAGTATATAAGGTTGGAAAGGACACAGACTCGAGATTCTCATTTAAATTGTTTATTTACTCCCGTGGGGTTTTATTTCTCTTTACTAAGACCGAAAATGGGTTACTCATTAGAAAATGGCAATTTTTATCGGTCATCAGTGGCCTCTGAGTTTAGGGAGTTGGATTGTCCTTGAAGTGTTCACAGAGTGCACACTTGTAATCTTCAGAGCCCTCCTGCTCCTCTTCCGGGGGCTCATTAGGAGCCATGACTGAGAGGGCAGCCAGCAGGATGGAGTAGCAGGTGTTGTACAAAGACATTACAGAACCGTAATCTGGGATAACCTGGGGGCTAGCAGCCACTTCCCCTGCGCCTTCCATTGGGGCAGTAGCCAGAGGCGCAAACGTGGCATTCCCAGAGGTGCCCTCCCCACCTGGGCCATGTGGCTCATGAGTGGGATAATTTTCCTGGGGATGCCCAGAGATGCTGTTCATGGGACAGACACCAGAGAACATGAAGGACTGGGTGACACTGGGTCCCTGAGCATTGGGAGCTCCCATCTGGGGCTTCTGGTTGGCTTCTTTCTTCGCATTATTGTGATGGATTCGTGGGGAGTGTCTTGTAGCTACCAGTTTCTTTCTCTTTAGGGTTGGTGCACAGGATGCTTTCAGAGCAGTGTTTCTCAGGTAGCCTTTCTTCTGAATATTCTCCAGGAGTTCGGGCTTGTCTCTCTGAAAATTGGAGTTGGAGTAGATCTGAAACAAAAGAAACATTTCAGCCATGCTGAGATAAAATGTTCATTTTTTCCCCACTTCCCCAAATCATAATGGTCTTTCTTTGTTTGATAGAGAAAAAATGTTGTGTAGGTGGCTGCAGTGCATTGAGGTCCGGTAGCAGCATGACCGTGAGCGAAAGGAAAAATGACGTATTGATAGATTAAGGTGGTGGTATTGAAGCGACATGCATAATTATATAAAAGACCATATATTCACTATATATAAAAAATGGGTGTGTGGTGTGTGTGTGTATATGTGTAGTGGGATGTAGTCCCTATTATATGGTGTGTGAGTTATATGTGGGTGTGTGGGGGAGGGGTATAAGCGGTGTACGGCCTGGTGAGACGTTACTCAGACCTTCAGGTTATCGCGAGTGGTGGGTGTGATAAAGTTATCAAGTATCAATATGAAGTTATCACAGAAACTTAAAACTTCCTGCGGATATCATCATTTGTGTCCTATGAAGATGGTGAGTGAACAGAGAAAACTGTGTAAGCGAGATACGTGTGAGGTTGACCCATCATCCGTCTTGTCCCTGGAGCTGTGAACTGAAGGTGTGTGGGGTTGGCGTTAGTTTTGCGGGGACTCCGAGAGGGTGTAAGGGGGGGCGAAGAAACTCTTCAAGCTGTCTGTTCAGGAGAATTTCTCTGCACCTCGTGCGGCGAAGGAATTCTCCTCTGGAAAAGTCGCCGTCGGGATACAGTCTCTCATCCGTCCTCCAGTGCACAGAGCTTGAAGATGTCATTGTGCAGTAGGCAGGCCAGAAGTTTGTGAGAAGGAGAGCCACGGAGGTCGAGTGTTGTCGAGTGTTGGCCACATTGTTGGCTTGGTCTGTCAGTAGGCAGGGTAATCTTGGGCCTGGGTCTGGCTCCAGCGGTGGGTCGGGGCCTGTCAACACTCCCGTGAATCCAGATTCGGGATCAGTGAGATTGAGGAACGCCGGTTGCGGCTCCGCGCCGAAAGCGAGGGGCGCAGCTCAGGTTCGGTATTTCTTTCCATTACTCTGACTGCGAAGGGGCTGACAGCGAGAATCAGGAACGACTTTTGGACCAGAGCTGTTAGCCCATTCTAGCGAGTCGAATGGCCTGTTGGGCTCAGCGTAGGACACCGAATAGGATACCCGTCCACATAAAATTCTAGAGCGTGCGGTGGCAACCAGTGCTTAGAGTCACCCATCCTCCTGTGGATTTGTGCATGTGGATGTCACAAGAGGCGACGCCAATCTGGAGAGGGGGCCCTGGCCCAGTGTGGGAGGACGGGGTGACAGGGCGCCAAGGAGCTTCTCTTTTCTAAGGAAGGATAAGGTCAGGGTCCAGGTTCCCAAAGTGTCCCCAGCCTTGCTGACAGCACGTTCCGATGGTTGCCAGATGAGTTGAAGGAAACCGATCGGTCCGTGGCCACTCGCCCCCCAGCCACTGGAAGAAGGGCGAGGGGTGGACCGGCTCGTGGGGCTGTGCCTGTCTGTTTGATCAAGGACCGCCCCAGTGAAGGGCGCTCGTAGCTTGCAAGTATAAACCAAGACCGGGGGCCGTGCTCAGATGGGCCCCCAGTGACTTAGGCTCAGGAAGCGAGCGAAAAGAGGCAGGGCCTACCTATGCAGGCTGGTTGGCCTACTCTCGCCTTCGCAAGTGAACACGCGCCTGATTTCCTTTCCCCTGCCCATCTCCTTCCTGCTTGGGTCTCTTAGGCCAGAAACTACGCGCTGAGTGTTGTTGGATCTGCTCCACTAGTGAAATACAAGGTATTTCTTACTGCCATGGGTCAAGAGTGTCCCCAGACAGACGTGTGCACTGAGCTGGAGTGCTCCTCTGATTCGTAGCGCGTGAGGTTACTCACAGCACAGTGATGGATGGCCACATCCTCAGACTTTGTTGCCCCCCACATCTCATCCTTGTGGCAGTCACGAAGGGGTGGTACCTTTTAGTTTCGATTTCTTCGCCATAGGATAGCTGCTCTCTGGGCCCAGCCCGTCATTTTTGAGCGCTTACATCGTACCCGTAAGGAACAGTTGCAGCTTGATTTAGTAGAGGTGGTAAAGTAATGCGCAACACGAAATACCGGTGCAGATATGTATTTGAAAATAGAGAGCGGGGTGGTAAGCCAGAGGAGAGAACAAGGAAGCTCTCTTCGGCTACCCAGGAGGAGGAAACATTCTTTGTTGGGTAATACATGTTCTCTAGCGCGTTGTAGGACAACTATATTCTGACGGTACTCACTCTGGTGTAGGGGAGGAGTAAGGTAAAGTGGAAAGGCCCAAGGCTGAGAAGGTCCTGAGCTCCCATGTTGTTCCTTTGCTCCCTCTAAGGGCGCAGCCCGAGTGAGAGGTTTGAAGAGGTTTCCCAAGGTGCCTTGGTCTGTCTAAGGCTCTCTGATCCGGTTATCGGTCGTCCCAGTGTGTCGGTGGGGTTGGCTTGGTTCTGTCGTAAGCTTGTTACGGGTTACCAAGCGATCAGTTCAAGCGACTCCAGATTTAACTGAGGCATGTGGCCGTGAGGTAAGAATAAAGTGGAGGCCACTGGTGATGGTCTGCCAAAGAGGCGCCTAGAGTTGGCAGTTAAACGCCAGCATGCTTTAGTTTACACCACTTTTTCGGAACAGGATGTCTTATAGTTGAACGATGAGTCTGTCATGTGTGGAGTTTGTGAGCTGGTTAAAACTTGGCTGAGCAGCTTCAGAAGAGGATCTGGCTGGGGGAGGGGGATGGGCATGAAGAAATGACTGGGAGAACACGAGCTCTGCATCCAGCAAGAGACCGGTTTTTACTTGAGTTTGACTATGACAATTATGTTAGGGTGTCTGTAGGACCTTGGGAGCGTATCATTGCGCGCTCTGTTACAGAAGCTCGATGTCCACAGGGAGAGAGTCTAAGACATTCAAGCTTCTGAGACTGTATCCGCGTAGAGGAAGGAAACGCTGCACAGCGTTGCTTGAGGCATAGTCCAGGAGAAGGCATTATGGGGAAGCGGCTCCACCGCGTAAGCCCTCTCAGGCCCAGGAAGTTCGACTCGTGGGACTCCATGCTGGCCGACCAGTGCAGGTCTGGAAGCACGCACCATGTGCATGCCCCTTGAGAAAAATGGTTGGTTTTCGCTTCGGTGCAGTGCGCCAGAGGCGCCAGGCATGCTCTGCGATCCACGCGCTTGGTGGAGGAAGCACCATAGTTCGTCAGGCAAGCAGGGCACGGCTGCCTGGGATGAGGACCAGGTGCCGGGGAGGAAGAGCGTCTCGATTCGCTGCAGTTCTGGGGTGGCGGAGCTGGAGCACGCGTAAGCTTGGTGGCTATGGACCAGCTTGGAAGCTGGCACGGGCGAAGTCACTGGGTCAGGCGGGAGCCCTGCCGGCCTCCTTGGCCCCGACCTTGCCCGTACGCGCCTTGCTGTGCGCGAGCCTTCGAGTCGGAAGCTTACTCCGGAGTAGATCTCTCCGTCTGGGGATCTCAG